CACATAACCTATCTAACGAGTTTGTCTAAATGATTGGAAGAACAGGGATTAGGAGAGATCACAAAACAAAAACAAAAACTTTATTAAGTTAACATTTCTAGGGCACATAATAAGAAAAGATGGCTTTGAATATTTGTTACTCACGGAACAGATTGAAGGTAAGAGGGGAAGCGGAATATAAGGGATCACCTGCTTAGGGAGCTTGAGTAAATGGATGGGGAGATCAAGGTTTAGGAGAGATGACGAAAAGACTAAATTTATTAAGAGCTACAAAGGACAAGGATTTGAAGGAATTCCGGATCACCCACTTCATTAAGTGACATGACAAATAAAAGAAGAATTTAACGCAGTAAAAGGCAGAAAGTCTAAACCATAGAACGACATAAACATTTCTCTTGTCATCATTCTACAATAGTCCGTAAATTTAAAATAGAATAGCAGTTTAAGGTTTTCGTTAAAGATCGAGTTCTAGATAATGGCTTGCTAAACTAGGTTTTGTACTATTGTATTATCGTAGATTGTAATTCTATTTTCATCTTCATCACAACTAGATTGCTGCGTCATTAACTCTTAATTCAAGTTCCTGACGTTTTGTACGTCGAACCTAATTTAGGACGACTTATTGAAATACAAGCCGCCACTGTGAAAACTACTATACAACACTTACTAAATGATTTCAAACGGAATAGCAGTTTAAGGTTTTCGTTACGGATCGAACCCTAGATAATGGCTTGCTAAATTGGGTTTGGTACTGTTGTATAATCGTAGATTGTAATTCTATTTTCATCTTCTTTTTTTGTTTTTTTGGTGACGTCTTTTAGGTTTTAAGCTTCTTGATTGATTAGGTAGTCTGCTGTTCTTTTCTTACTAAATAATTTCCGGCTTTCAGAAACGTGATATTTATATTTTTATCTATTTAATGTTTATTTCTTCTTCCTTTTTTTTTTGAATGGTTATAATGTAAGAATACAGTATTTAATATTTGACAGGTTTCTCCTTCTTTAAAGATTATGATTCTTTCCTGTTTTGTAAGGATTCTTTGATCTATTTGTCACTCAATATTGAAAAAAAATCTCTTTATTCTCGACAGAAATTTCCGGATGAAATCTTAATAAAACTGCTTAGAAATTTTTTCTCTTCACGATTCGTTGCATGGCGTTATTTACAACCTCCTGTGATCTTACGACTAACTTTGTATCTTATATGATATAACTAACAACATTTCTTAAATAGCTAACTCAAAACAGCGTTTCTGAACGAGATACATCAAAATATTATTCGACTTACTGCCTATATTCATCGTTATATCAATAAATCTGCAACCTAATAATGAACATTTTCTCCTGTTTAATTGTTATGTCTGCTCGGTTCAATAAAGATAAATTGGGAGCTGATTTCAAAAATGGCCAACAGCCTGTTGTGAACACAAGCCATATATGGCTTTTTGATTTCAACGTCTCAAAAACAAAACTGCTCTTTTTTATTCTCTTAGAGAACTTCTTTTTGGTCTTCCATCAGTATGGGTGAGGATAACCTCTAAGAGAGTGGCTTATTGCGCCTTCTCGGGCTAACGTTAACTGGAAGCTTCATATGGAATCATTTGCATAGTCTACTGGTAAGAAAGATAGTTCAATGTCGTACTAAGCAATTTTTTCTCTCCAGATTCTATCTTTACATTTATAAGTCTACCATCCAACCATGCCGCGTATATTGCTGTGGAATCTGGTATGTTGCTTCTGCTACGTATTTAGAGATTCGTGATATAATCCAAACAAGAATCTGCAATGTTATCGATCCTGACCTGGCATCTCGCTTTTTGTCATTCTCCCTTCGTCGTAACGTAGCTTCACTGTGCCATTCTATAAATATTTTCATAGGAATTTTTTGACGTGCTTTCCACAACGGTACCTTATCATTTTACAGTTGAAATTGCTAGATATATACGTAATTTTTATGCTATGAGTTTCTTATCTCTGATTTCCTGCTGGTAGAATCGCATTTAGTTTGCTTTCCAGTCAACTTTATTCTCCAAAAATTTAAATGTAATGTCAATCGTTATCTTCTGTCTTCTTAATAACTGTTCTTTTATTTTTCTCTCTTTTTAACACTGTTTTTTTTTTTCTTCCCATATTTAACACTCAGTAACGTCATGTGACTTACAGATTTTATTGTCTTATCACTAAGTTTACTTTTCTCCTTGTTTGTTCCAAAGGAAACAGAAACGTTCCCACTCAAACAATATTTTCCCAGAAGCTGTCTATGGCGATTCTGTATCTACCCTCATAGAGGATGAGTTCTATTCTACGGTCCCACCATTTGAAACCTTTATTGTTACGGTACACGACACCACTTCCATGGAATCGAATCACACTCATATTCAAAATGTAACGAGAATGATCCAGACACACAGCTTTTTATCAACAACTGCCACTTTGTGGAACGATACAAACTTAACCTCTTCAAGTCATTCGTCAATCGTTGTCTATCCCCCTTATGCTTATATTATTCGCCTCATTCTACCTCCTCTTTTATTCATATCAGTCATCATTTAGCAACCCTCGACTCTGAATAGTTCTTGTGCCTTACATTGGATGCCTAGCAAATGAAAATTAAGTTCGTTCGCTTTATGGCACCTGAGGTGAAAGTAACCAAAAATCCATTTCCTAGGGATTCATGCCCGTTGAATATAAAGGGGGGGATCAGGGCCAATTCTTTATGATTTAAGCGCACAGAGAAGACGTCAATAAGTCTTACGGATATATCAGGTTGAAACAACTGCTCTTGTAAGATCGGCGAAGTTAAGCAACGTCCAGCCTGGTCAGTACCTTGATGAGTGACCAATTTGGAATACCAGGTATTGTAAGCTTATAAGGACGTATGGTGTAATGTAGATTTGAGAGCGGAGAGCTACATTCCAATTTCAGCCCTGTTCGTTATATTCATTAATACGTAAATATTCAAACTAAAGGTATGAACCCAACTCTTCTCCCCAAAGCTATGGGTTAATTAGTTGAACTTATATCCGTAATATCATTATTATCTGCACAAAATTCTTACAATCTAAAAATATATTCTGGCTTTAAATAACCAGCAAAATGTTGATCAGCCGTAAAAAACAATAAACAAATCAAATACATCAATTACGTGGCCTTGTTCCAGACGATTCCTATTATTATATAAGGCAACTGTATTGAAGATATTTTAGTACACGCAGACATGATTCATATACATGACCGGAAAATATGGTTTCCACAGGAAATCAATTGATATTTATTTCGAACAAAACAAACACTTGCACGCATGAATTTCGCTCGACTTTTGACATTAGAATAGACGGAAGTTTGAGAATTTCTTTTTTTAAGGAAAGACTTTTCAAGATAACAATATTTCTATTTTTGTAAATAAATTATGGAAACTTTTTCTCTTTTACGAAGAAAAGAAATTAGTTTATATATTTTTTTTTAAAACAAAAACAAAGAAACAAAATGAAGCTAAATTCATTACATTTTATCACGTGCAACTTTTAACTTCAGCGGATAGATTGAAAACTTCCAAAATTTTAGATCATATCTAGCTTAAAAAGAGATCTCTGCAAAGTAAACGGACAAATGAAGATAATATATATATATATATATATATATATATATATATATATATATATATATATATATATATATATATATATATATATATATATATATATATATATATATATATATATATATATATATATATATATATGTACATGTGTATCTGAAGATAATATTTGAAGATAGTATATATAAAACTAAATAAAGATGATAAAGACAGACACATTCACACATTCACACATTCACACAAACACATATACACACATATACTGAATGGTAAAATAAATAAAAATAAAACCATACATACGCATACGTGCATATATATGTATATATTTTCCGAGGAAGTCAGTAAAGTAAAAAGGACAGACACGCACATATATGTGTGTGTATACACAAGAAACTTAAATAAAGAGAAAAGGGAACAAACACACACTGACATACATACACGCACATATATATATATATATATATATATATATATATATATGTGTGTGTGTGTGTGTGTGTGTATATATATATATATATATATATATATATATATATATATATATATATATATATATACGAGCAAGTAGAATGAGATCTTATGAAAAGTTGAAAGGAAAATAATACAAGTTTTTAAAATTATTAAAGAAAACGAAAAAGATTAAAATATATTCAGTTAAATACATGAATTAAAGAAATCCAAACATTTGTGGTTTTGAGAACTCTCGCGGGAATTTCAATTGAAAAAGATCCACACTGCTGATAAATGCGGTTCTGTCAGGGCCGCCTATAATAGTATGTCTCTTCAAACCGAATTAAACAAGACAGATGAAGAGAAAGAAAGCGAGAGATATCAATAAGAAATGATGTTTGCCAATCTTGACTTTTCTTCCTTCAGGAACTGATGCAACTTTGATGAGAATAGTTTTTTGCGTAGTTTTGCCGACATTTAAATCAACTGGTTACGAGTGAAGTAGATTAAATGATTGTGGGTTAGCAGGCGGCTGTAGTGGCACGAGTCAAATATGAGAATATGTGTGTGAAGAAAGATAATGGTTGGAGAGAGAAGGCTTGTCACTTGCGAAGTGGACACTGGGAGAGAGTGAAAGAGAAGAGGCAAACGAGAGAATAAGAGATACAGAAAGAAAATAAAATATATAGAGAGAGATAGATAGATAGAGAGAGAATATACAGAAGACAGAGAAACAGAGAAAGAAAAAGGGAATGCAAACGAGAAAGGATAATATAAATAGATGAAGCCAAGAAAAATTGCAGCGAAATTAGTTGAGGCATATACCATATATATATATATTAATCTACCTATATTCGTATCTATCTATTTATCTATCTAAGGTCGTGGCTATCTATCAGTCTATCACAGACAGTGTCTAACTAAGATCGTGTTTGTCTATCTATTTATCTAAG